AACACCCGCTCGATAAATTTATTGGTCGCTTCTGACACGAGTGTACCCTGCTTCTATCTTTCTCTCTTCTTCTACCACTCTCTAACTATTTCTCTCTCTCTCTCTCTCTATCTCTCTTACTTTCTCACTCTATCTTTCTTTTTTCCTCCCTCGTATATTCCCTCGTTTTTTCTTTCTTTCTTTCTTTCTTTCTTTTTCGTCTTGTCTTGTCGTGTTTTTCTTGGAAAAGACTTTGTGCGTTAAATTGCAAGAAGATGCTCTAGCGATAAATGCGAGACGTATTAGTAAAAAAAAAAAAAAAAAAAGATACTTACCTAACTTTCGTTCAATTTATGTAAATATTACCATTTATGAAAATATGATATATTATATATTAAAAAGAATAATAATAAAATAATAATAATAAAGAATGTTAATAGTTATCAAACAAGGAGAAAAGATTATTTCGTTCATCTCTCATCGAGCGTATAGATAAATAAAATAAAATAACACGGTACCGAATATACACATATATATATATATATATATATATATATATAGAATCGAATGAGCCATAATAAGTAATAGTAAAGATTTGTCTTTATCTTTCTTCTCCCTTTCCTATATACGATGGATGGTTACTCTCTCGTATTATATCGCGAAATGGGGTTCAAATCAATCCGACTTTCCCCTTTGCGAAATTGTAAATAAATTAGGAGCCGAACGATCAGAAGAGTCAACACGTTACTCTCACGAGCCCGCGCTCGCGCGCGTCGAGTTGTTCTCTTGCGTGTATCTCTGGTATACATACATACATATATATATATATGTGTACAGAAGATATATACGTCTATACATAATCATATATAAGTGTGAGACGATATCGTAGGTGTATTATTTGCGTGCGCGATCGCGTGCTCTTCTAGAAACCCGTACCGTAACGTTAACGTAGGGACGCACACGCGCATGTAATTTCTTGCGAAACAACGCATGCGCGATAGAAGAGGTAGACGAGGAAGTGGGAGAGAGAGAGAGAGTTAGAGAGAGGGTAGAAGAGGCGGAGGAGAAAGAGGAGGAAGGAGGGGGGGAGGTGGATGAGGAGGAGGAGGAGGAGGATGACGATGGTTACGTAGCAGGGTGGAAGGAAGTGTGGGTGAACGCGGTAGGCGTGCGCAATGAGCGAAAGGTTGGTGGAAGGCGCGAGGGAGATTCGCCACGCCGCGTCGCACTGCTGGGGCGGGTAACGGACGTGGGGTGAGTGTTGGAGGAAGAACAGGAGGAGGGGTAGGGGTAGGAGGAGGAAGAGGAGGAGAAGGGTGAGTAAGAGTGAGAGAGAGAAAGGGGGACACAGACGACGTACCAACACAATCTCGATGCGTTTATTAACGCACGTTGCACGGTGGGGTGAGGGGAAGAAGGTGGTAAGGGGGCTAGGGGGAGGGTTTGCTGTGCCAGCATCATCGGCTGTGCGGCAAGCAGCAGTAGCAGCAGCAGCGGTAGCAGCAACAGCAGCCAGCTAGGTTGGCAGGCAGGCAGGCAGGCAGGGTCAAGTGTTTCTCTCCGTCCTCGTCCGATCGTCGCTCTTTCCCGCTCCTCTCCTCTTCTTCTATATACCCTGCCTTTACCCTCTACACTACCACCCTATACCATATATACACCACCTTTACCCCCGTCGTCGTTTCACCACTTGGAAAGCTTCTGTACCGCACCAGCAATCCGTGCCGCAACTTGCTACACCCACCGAACGAAATTCAATGTCCTGTCTACCGACGTTGCACCCTTCTTCATCTTCTTCTTCTTCTTCTTATTATTATTATTTTTTTTTTCTTCAAGGCTATATCCCTTTCTTCTTTTTTATTTCGGAGTTTTGCAGTATCGATAAAAAAACAAAAATAAGAAATCTTTTTCATAGATAGATTCGTTTTTTACCTGTTTTCGTTACTACTACTATTAATGTTTGCACTATAAAGATGGAAAGATTTATATATATTAATATTTGAAGAAAAAGGTGTAGGTTTTGAAAAGTAATCTCGAGTGGCCGATGTGATCATTTCGCGTATAAATCGAAGTACTTTTTCTTTTATTTCTTTAACCCTTATTAACGCTTATACTTTTCTCGAATTTCATCGGCAATTGAATCGTACGATAGTCGTAACAATTTCATTGGAAATAAACGAAAATGTCGGTCTATACATAAATAATACACAGCAGTCGGTGCTAGTAGAAAAAGCGTAAAAATAAGCAGGGGAAAAAAAGCATGACAGAATTCGACAGGAATGCTGTTGCTGTTTACTGTTGCTACTGATACTGTTGCTGTGCTCTTCTACACGCAACCTAGCGTTTTTCTCTCGAGCATTTTTGCTTCGTCGAAAGAAGAACGCTTATGAGAAAAACAGAGAAAACGAAAGAAAGAAAGAAAGAAAGAAAGAGAAAGAAAGAAAGAAAGCGAAGGAAAGGATATAAACATCTCTCCTTTTCGTTTAGTTTCGCTGGCTGACTCGTCGAGGCGCTAGAAGGGCCATTTTCGAGGGCCTTCGTTTCCAGTGGCTAAAGAGCAGAGAAGATATCAAGAAAAAAATAAAGATAAAGAGAGAGAAAGGAAAGGGGAGAAAGGAAAGAAGAAGAAGGGGGGGGGGGTGAAGTTACAGAGAAAGAAGGAAAATCTTTCCTTTTATTTCTTTATTATTTTTTTTATTTGTTTCCCCCGTTGTCCAGGTTCTCTTTCTTTTTCTATACTTATCTACTTCGAAAGAGAGTCGTGCAAGAAAATTGCAGGAAAAAAATCCGAGACAAACGTTGACTCGAAAAGAGAAAGATAAAAAAAGTTTTGACTCGGTGGTGGACGATAATCGATGAAGGAAGGAATTACTTTCTCGAGTCTACTGGTAAATCTAACTACTACTGGTTTTATGGAAAGGGTTGGGAAAGAGGGAGAGCGAGAGAGAGAGAGAGAAAGAGAGAGAGGGCAAGGGCGGGAAAAATCTTTTTATTTCTTTTCCGTGCCCTTTAATCGTCGTAGCTCGTAGCAGAGCTTTTTATGGTCACGAGTTTCATCGAATGCGCGCTGGATCGCAAAAGATGGAAGAAGTTAAGGTGGGAAAAAGAAAGAAGAGAAGAAGAAGGAAAGGAAGGAAGAAGAAGAACGAGGGAATGGTTGGAACGGGGGCGAATATGACGAAAGGGCCTAGGGAACAAAGACGTCAGAAATCGCGCGCGAGTGGTACTCGGAAGGTAGTAGTACTATACGCCATTTTGACTCACTCAGCTACCGTTTTTCTCTTAAGGACGCGTTCTCGCGCCCAACGTCGGTTGCACTTTAACATTTTTCTCATGAAATTTCATTTATAATACGTCATGTTTTTTACATTTATTTATTTTAAAAAAGAAATAAATCAAAATTCATTTCTAATATATATATATATAGTTAGGAGATTATCAAAATCTCGGGGAGGGGGGGGGAGAAGGGGTTAGGGTCACAACGTTGACTTATCTTCTATAATTTCGTTTGATCTATATGCAAGTAACTCGTTAACCTTGACCCTACGTTTCTCTAACCTCCTCCCCATTTCCCCCTGTTCTTTCTTTTTCGTTTCTCTCCCTCTCTCTCTCTCTTTTTTTGTCTTTTTTCTTTTCTTTTTTTTTTTATTATAGAAATCGCTATCCTTTCGTCTCTTACACAAACATTATTCTTCTTGAGTCTTGCCTCTGGCCTTATATGCTTAGGTGGGTGTAAGTAAACATTGTACAGCACGTGTAAGTAAAAGGTAAGCTAAATAAGCGACTCTTTCCTCTCTCTTTCTCTCTTTCTCTCTCACTCGCTTTTCTCGCTATCTCTTCTTCTTTCCCTTTCCTTCCTTCTTTCTTTCTTTCTTTTAACTTCTCTTTCTTTCTTTTTTTTTTTCTTTTATGTGCTCGGATACGCGCTAGTAGAAGCGTGTACAAAGTGTCTCTTAACCAGCAATGTCTGGCTTTTCATTCGAGTTACTCGGTTGGCCATACTACTACTTTTTTCTTTTTTTTTTTATCTCATTCTTTTTTCCTAACTACTCGACGTAGATGCGATAAAAGAATTCCAATTCTTTCTTTTGAAATAAAAAAAAACTAAGATGAAGAGGACGAAGAAGAAGAAGAAGTAGAAGTAGTAGAAAAAGAAGAAGAAAATTCCTACTTTTCATTCTACTTACTAACATCTTCTTCTATCCGTTATACAAATGTTCACGTCGTATCTACCTATCTACCTACCTATCTACCTATCTACCTATCTACCTATCTAACCTACCTACCTACTTTTCGATCTAGAAAACAAATTTTATTATTCTTTCGTATATATAGAATTACATTTCTCAACTTTCTTAGTAGTCACATCACGACAATAACATAAACAATAATAATAACCATTACGTATTTAAAAAGATCAAAGTATAGAAAAAAGAAGAAGAAGAAGAAGAAGAAAAATAAAAAAAAAAAGAAAAAAGAAGGAAAGAGATTAATTCGTTCTAGTTGATATTGAAAAGTTTTTCAAGTCTTTACATTACAGAGGAAATACTTACGACGTTTCTCAATAAGTTTTGTAGAATATTCGCGTTGGCCATATCTTCTTTTCCAGTTTTCCTTTTTTCCTTTTTTACCTTTTATTTCTTTTTTTTTTCCTTTTTTCTCTCTCGTAGAAACGAAATCGGTAAAAGAACAAAAGAGAAGAGAATAGAAGAAGGGAAAAAAAAGCGAGGGAGAAAAAAATGTGCAAAGCAATATTCGAAATGCGCGGGGGTTGAAGGGGGAAGGGGGAGTTTGGGTAGGGAGGGAGGGAGGGAGGGGGAGGAGGAAAAGTTGGTTGGCGGGTAGGATACGAACAGGAAAGTGTAATTTCAGTTTGAAACAGGAACGGCAGAGAGAAAGAGCGAGCCAGAGAGAGAGAGAGAGAGAGAGAAAGAGAGAAAGCTCGCGAGAGAAAGAGAGAAAGAGAAAGAGAAAGAGAGTGAGTCAGTGAGTGAGTGAGTGAGTGAGTGAGTGAGAGAGAAAGACCGA